GTGAGACCTGAGGCTCTCCTTCCTCTCCCCCGCTTCCTCGGCAACTCACACCCTCCCGAGGCAAACCCTCAGCTTTTTAAAAATCCCCCATCTTTATTTGCAGACCGGGAAGGTCCTGCCTGGGAGGGAAACGGCTACAGCAGAGGAAACCAAGAAACGCTCCAACCGGACGCTGCCGCGCGAGTCAAAGGAGGGAAGAACCGCAGGCAAATACAGTCAGGAAATCCGCTTTTATTAAATCTCTGCAGCATTAAACCCCCCCTTCCCAGCCACGGGCCGGAGGGAGCGCGGCCGGCTGGGCTGTGCCCGGCTGGGGACGGGCACCAATTCATCGCTGCCCTGCTCAGGGAGGTTTTCCGGCCCTGTCCGGGATTCACCCAACGGCTGCAAAGGTGCTCGTGTGACGTCCGAGCTCATTTCCAAGGATAAAGGAGCCAACCGAGTCGGGAGGGATCCCTCGCTCCGAGGCAAAGGCGTCGGTCGAGTGTCGCCGCCTGGTCCCGCCTGCGGGGGTCGTCTCCTCCAGGTGAGTCTTCGGATCCCAAAATGCCGGGGGGGGGGGCTCAGGTCGGGGCCGCTTTTCGGGCCCGGAGTTGGACGGAGCCCTCGGCGGCTCCCGCTTCCCGCCAGGAACGTTCTCGGGGCTCCCTGGGCAGTCCCAGCTGGGCAGGGAACGCGGGCCGGGAGGAAGCCGGAGCGACAGAGAGTGACCCAGCCCTGCTTGGGCTTCCTATTGCCGGGGGATGGAGGAGCTGTGCCCTGCACTGCCCTTCCTATTGCCGGGGGATGGAGGAGCTGTGCCCTGCACTGCCCTGCCGGGGCTCCCGGCGCTCCGGAGCGTCCGGAGCTCAGGCAATCCCGTCCGCAGCCGCAGGACTCCCAGCACAGCTCCTGGCAGCAGGGATGGAGCAGCCCCGGGCCAGCGCTTCCATCGGGCACAAGATGGATTTGTCTCCCGCAGGGCTCGTCCGCCAAACGCACATCCCAGGGGGGGGAACCAGCCACGGGCACCGGGGTGGGCACGGGGAAAGGGCTGCCCTCGGCTCCTCAGCCGGGGGCTGCTCTGAACGGGCACCCTGAGATGCCTCACCCTGGACACGCCCCAGCGACAGCCCCAAAGGACCCAAAGAATCCAGCCGGCACCCGGCAGCGTCGGCACGGCGGGGCTGCAGAGCAGCGCGGGCAGCCATTCCCAGGGCCCACCTCCCAGAGCTGTCCCGCGCCCCCCACGGGTGTCCCGCCCGCCCCAAATCCCTGCCCTTCCAGCCGGAGGCCAGCAGCCAGCAGCAGCCTTAAAGCCAGGGCAATGTGCCCTCAGCGGCACTAAATCCCGAGCAAGAGCCCTCGGAGATGCCTGAAAAGAAAAGGGGGTGCTTGGAGAAAGTTGGGCTTGGATGCAATTCGCAGTTTTTCGGGGACCCAACCGCACCTGCAGAACCCGTGGACAGCTTGAACAGGTGGGTCAGAGCCGAGGTGCCCTGAAGGCAGGGCTGTGCATCCCTTTCCTCGGGGAAAAGAACTCCCCGGGGCCGCTCCCGAGGCTCCGAAGGGACAGCGGCTTCCCGCCCGGAGAGACGTCCTCGCCCGTGCTCAGGGGCTGCCTCGCCCCGGGCCGGGAGCGCGTCCGGCCCCCGCCTTCTCCTGGGCCAACACATCCCCTGGAGCCCGGCCCGGGGCGGAAAAGCGGCCGAATTCCAGCGAACTCGCTCAAGTCCCCCCAGGGACACCAGCGGGGCTGGGGGAGGAGGGTTATAAACAGCAAAGTCTGTGGAATATCAACCTGTCCTTGTCCCGATCCCGCTGAGCAAACCTGGAACCGTGGCTGCTTCCTGGCAAACCTGGCGTTAGAGCGGCAGCTCTGCGGGGGAAGATCCGGGCTCCAGGAGGCACTGGGAGGCTGTTCCAGCAGGAATTCGGCATGGAATTGCGGGCTGTAGGTAGAATTCCTCCAAACCTGCAAAGCTGAGACCGGAACCCAAACCTGGGCCCCCTGCAGAGAACAATCTTTGTGCTGCCGTGTCGGCCAAAGCCGCTGCCCAACAATCCCCTCGTTTGACTTTCTAGGTGAATTGTGCACAAGCCACTCCCCCATTCCCTATCCAGGCTGGGAGTGCTCGTGCCCTTGGCACAGTTGGCTCTGGCTGGGCAGGAACTGAGAGCAGGACACGGGATAGAGCAGATCAGCTGCCCAGGGAACGTCCAGGAGATGAAGCTACGGGATCCTCATTCCAATCAAGGGAACACATTCTGTCTCTGGCAGGAGCCGGGAGCCAAAGCAGATCCCGCCTGGCCAGGCTGGGGGGCAGCAGTTGGATCCACTCTGGGGGAAAGCCCCTGTGCCTGCCAGGAGCTCTGACTCTGTTTGTCCTGCCAGCTCTGACCAGTGTCAGGGCCCCTGGGAGGGATTCAGAATCCAAGGAAACCCCAAATCCTACTGAGGGACTCAATCAAAGGAAGAAAGCCATTCTTGTCATAAAAAGCTTAAAAAGCTGTTAAAAGTTCTAGGACAGCAATACTGGGATTCCCAGGAAACTTAGTAGTGCTCTTGGTTCCATTTCAGTGTATCTTTAGTCCGTCAATGAGCAGCTTGGAGAATCCCCTGGGATTTGGAGGCTGAGCAGGGTTTGCTTTGGATTGCCTGGCACCTCTGGCCCCAGCTGGTGCAAACACAACTTGGGCCAATGTGGTTAAACACACTTTCCTACAAAAACAGTTGCTATATCCCCTAGAAATTGCCCTAAGTCTGCAGATAAAACCTTCATCTCTGTCCCTCCTCAGTTTTCCCAGCTGGGAGCTGCAAGGAGGCTGTAAATTGAAAGGCAGAAAGAGAAGGTCTGTCAGCAAAAGGCACAAAGAAGGGGACAGGTTTCAGAAAACATTTCTGCAATCTAATGAATAACTATTTCCAGTTTCCCAGGGAGAACAGGAACTCACAGCCACCAAGGCCTGACAGTCCCCTGCAGCCAGAGCTCAGCACACACCCAGAGAGGCAATTCCAGCATCTAAAAGAAAAAAAGAAGAAAAAAGTGACTTATTTTGTTTTAAAGTTACATTAAGTTGTTCCAAGCAAAGCAAGCCTTGCTCTGGTTTCAGTTGGGTGAACAGGGAGCGCTGGGCACAGGGCACGTCATTAATGCCCAGGGGATGGGGCTTTGTGGGGGAGGGAAGAGCAGCTGATGGAGTTGCCCAGTCCAATTCCTGCCCAAGGCCTGACTGGCCCAGGACAAACCCTCTGGCAGGCAGTGGGTTTGTTCCCTCTCATGGTCAGTGCCCAGTGTGTCCCTGTGGGCAGTGCCAGGCTGGGGACAGGCACACGAAGCATGACTTCATGCTGCTTCCTTAACAGGAGCACATCAAACTCATCGAAGCCAGAGAGGAAATTACAAACAAACAAACAAACAAACAAACAAACAAAAGACCCAAAAAGATGCTTTGCACTGATACACTCTCTGGTTGATCATTCCAAAGAAAATTCTCCACAGATCAGAAGCAAGTACCAATACTTTGTCCTCTGTTGAAAATTAATGACTTGAGGGGCTGGACATGTCCAGTGAGGGTTCAGGGGTCTGGTGGGTCCTTTATGGCTGATCCTGACCGGCCCAGGCCAAACCCAACCACCCCCATGGCTGCTCCATCCCAAACCTGGGGGCAACATTCAGACAGTTTGGAAACACTCCCCTTCCCTGCTACTCCGTCCTTCCTTACACATCCAGTGCCCAGGGAGCAAATGCCAACAGCAGGAGGAGAGAAAGGTGTCCCTCTGACTTACCCCACCCCACGGGCAGCACCAGGAGCCCCCAGCCCGGCCGGCGGGGCTGCAGCCTCTTGCCTTTGGCTGCTCCCAGCCCAGGGCACTTGGCAGAGCTGGGCTGGATCAGGGCTTTGGCCTGGCCTGGAAGAGAGGAGAACAAGGCAATTAAGGGCACTGGGCAAGTCAAAGGCTCCTGCCCTTCACCCTTCTCTTCAATTGCTCACTAGAGAGTTTTAGCCAAGAAAATCCAAGGGGGACACCAAATAAAATGAGACCTTCTCCAGCATTTTCATTCCTCTCTACTTCAGGCATTAAAAGGAGGCTCATCTTTCTTACTACATTCCTTGCCCCATTTGAACAGAACCCTTTTCATTCCAAACCCCCCTTGGGAGTCAGTCAATCCTCTGCCATTGGACTTTGGGCAAAGGAAGAGACACCTGGGATGCTGGAGCCCAGGAAAGGAGGGAGAGGAAGCTGACAGGGAGAGGTTTCAAGGCACTCCAGAACTCAGAAATGTGTTCATGCATTGCCAGCCCACCCCCATTCTGTGCCACCCACCTGAGCTGGGCAGGTGAGGCCAAGGCTCCCCTTCCTGCTGCCAGTCACTGTCCCAGCACACGGATCCCTGTGCTGGGCAGCACTTGGAAAAACCTGGGAAAGGCAAAAGGAAAATGGCACTGCCTGTCAGAAAACATGTCTGTTAACAAACCTTCTGGACAAATTTCATCCCATGCCTCTGCTCCAATAAACCCAGGGCAGGCAGGTCTGTCCAGCCCAGGGAGAACAGGAAGGAGAACTGCAGGAACACAGGCAGGCACAGGCAGCTCTTGGCACTTCTTCCCTGCAGACCTCTCTGCACTTGGGGCTCTTGGCACTTCATTTATAAAGAGTGGGGGGACAGCAGCCCAGGAATGCCCCTCAAAAACAGGGGCCTGGGCAGCTGGAGATTAGAGGAGGGGAGTTGTGAGGGGAGACACAGAGAGAGAACAGGAACAGGGGTTGTTTGGGAACAGGCTGTGTGTCCAGCACAGATGGGAACTGGAAACACGGGAGGCTGGAGGAATGCAGGGGGGGAGCACGGGCCTGCCTTGGATGGATCCTTTTTCCCTTTGCTCAGGGGCCTCAACTCCACCCTCTCTGAGAGCAGCAGGGAACTGCTGCAGGGGAAGAGTTCATTTAGGCACAAGGCAGTGATGCAGCCACTGGGGCAGGGGAAGAGGGGAGAGGAACTGACACAAAAATGACACAATCACCACTGAAAGGGACTTTATTGAGCTGCAACACAAACACATTCACAGCAGGCCAGGGCAAGAGGTGCCCACAGGACCACCAACACAGCAGCTGGGCTGGCAGGAACACCATCTTAACAAGTTATGGAGCCAGGGGCTCACAGTTGGGATCCATCCTAAAAGATGCACTCAGGCATCAGGGCCAAGTCCTGCCCAGTCACTGCACACAGTTCAGCCCCAGCAGCAGTGGGACTTTCTGCCTCTCCCTCCAATATTATTTGGGATCCAACAGCTCAGTGCTGTAGAATTTTAGCTCCATAAATGTTTTACACAGTTGAGCTTCACAAGAACTGGTGCATTTTTGAATATTCCTGTCTCTTCCAGGGCTGCACTTGCAGGATCCTTTGGGCCTGGTGTTTTGCTGACAGGCAGGGCACTCCAGGAAACAACTCCTCACCTGTCATGGAATAACAGGAACAGCTTAAACAAACACAGTCCAACACGTGGGATACAGATTTTGGGGATACAAAAGGAAATGAGCAAGGCAGAACTGTGGCTCAGCAGAAATCCCTCCCCACGACCCCCTCCCGCTCCCCCCCAGCCCACACGGCAGCCCCGGGGCAGCCGATCCCGCAGGCTCCAGCACTGGGACAATTCCTGCGGGTGCCTCCACCCCAGGGGAGGCTGCGGGGCGGCTCCAAGGGGGTCCTGCTGGCCAGGCTCTGCCCAACCAAGCCGGCTTTAGGCCAGGCCTGGCACTGTGGGGAGGTGGGCACGGGCAGGTTCTCGGGAGCTCCCCGTTGGCCACCCCTGGAGCGCTGGGCAGGCGCCCCGGCGGGGCCAAGGGTGGAGGGCACGGAACAGCTGCACACACCTTGGCTGCCTTGGCCCAGCACACACTCACTGCACCTGCAGCCTTTAAACAACTTCTTCTCGTTGATCCCAGAGTCAACAACTGCATATTGTTCATAAAATCAGTACAATAATTACTGTGAGCAGTGAATGGATGAAAGTGTTCAAAAACTTTGTAGCAGGTGGTGAGAATCCTGTAAATATGTCCCACCAGTGGTGAGCAGTGACTTGTTCTACCTGATGCCCAAAGGCCATTAATTGACCCCTGTAATTACTGTTTGTATTTGGTGATCAAGTCAAGTCTTATTTCAAATTTGCAGGGCAATAATTTGCACTTACATACAAAAATCCCTGGTTTACTTACAGTGAAGGGTCTTATTTTTCCAGCACGATATCGGTTGGTGCACTGCAGCAATTCAGGAAACAAAATCCAGTTAATTTTTGCAATCCAGGATGTGAATACAGCCCTCCAGATCAGTTCATTGGTACTCATTAAGTCCTTCTGTGCCTCATTTCTTTGTATTACAATATACACACCATGGCATGTGCACTCAGCCCAGTTCATAAGTTACTGGTGTTCCCCTGTGCACAACAATTACATCTTGGGGAACCATCAGAGAGCTGCCCAAACTCCCCATCACATTCTGGAGTGAAGGGTGGGGGGTAAATACAGTGGGCATCCCTTGTGCTCCTAAATTCAGCACTCAGGATACACCTGGCCCAGCTCTTTGCCATTGGTTACCAAACAATTCCATGTCTCCACTGTCTACAAATCCAATACCAGCTCCCGTTCCTCCCAGTCCCGTGTCCCCCCAGCCTCGCTGCCTGGGGCAAGATGGGAGCACTGGAAGAAGAGTGGGGAAAGGAATTCTATTATCCTGATGATGTTGGGCTGCAGGACACAGGCAGCAGGTACCCAACAGTTGGACCAATATTCGCCTCGGGAGGATGATGCCAAACTGTGCCATCCCCTGCCCCAGCTGATCCCTTTGCTCTTTTGGCAGCACTTCCCCAGAACAGCCCCGCAGGCAGAGCCCAGGGGACGGCCCTGCTGCTGTGACACTGGGGCTGGGACTGGCACCGCTCACACAGGGGGACAAGGATGCCAGGGAGACCCCCCGGACCCAGCACCGTAAGGGAAACTACAGCACTGCATGGCAACAGTGCTCCCAGCCCCTGGAATCACATCCATCCCATCCCACTGAGGGCACCAACAGCCGCCCGCACAATGAGCCCGACAGACCCCGGCCCTGCCAGAGAGTCCCCCCGGGCACAAAGGGAGACTGACCCCTGGGCAAGGGCCATTTGCTTCCCAGGTCACCTTGTCCTGGGGTCCTGGTTTGGAGCTGCTTTTCCATCTCCATCCAAATCAAACCAAGGCACCCGACCCAGGCACCTTTCCCAGGGAACTGCCCGGGCCAACAGCATCGCCCAGAGGGACCACAAGGGCTCTGAGGATGGCCAGGATCCACAGTTTCTGTAAGATATCAAGCTACAACATGGCAATATCATTCCCTCCACTAACATTTATTCACAGGAACATATTCCCATTTTCCTTGTCTGCATTTAATCACTAATTCCATGATGGTGTCAGCTGGGAGCCAAGTAGCCAAACCACTGCCAACTGACCCCAAATCCCTACAAACCTGACACTGCCCTCGTTCTTCCTGTTTCATTCCCACAGGTACAGTGTCTCACTCAGTACATGGACTACTTTTGCCTCCCCCCTTTGTGACTTCAAACTCCCTCTGGCACGGGTTATAAGCTCCTGCTTTCCAAAAGTGCTTCCCACTGACAGATGTGGCTGACCCAGCAGGGAGCCAGGCATGCTCCCTCTTCTCCCAGCACTTGCTCTGGGGCTTTTCCCCATTTCCCCAGTGATTTGTGCTCACTGTCCAGGGGATCTACACTTGTTGCTTCAACCACAGGGCCGGTGGCAACTCCCTCCCGAGGCCTCGCTCCTGCCCCGCCCCCTGCTCTGGCTCTGGCTTGGATACACCATCTCCATTCCATGGTGCTGCCTTCCTGAGCAGGGCCTGGCCTGGGCACCCTGGAGGAGCTTTGTACCCAAGGCCTTAGGGGGATTTCAGGCCCTCTTATCATTTGTTAAGTTCCCACTAAAGCCCAAGAACATACTCAGAGCCGCTTCTCCAACAGGGTCCATCTTGGGCTGGCTTCCAGTAACTTCCTGTTCCCAAATCCTAAGGGCACTTCCTTCCTACCTGTAACAGTTCATTAGGATACATGCCCGGAATAAAGACAAGGGCCACAAACATTCAAACACACAAAATATCTTTATTGCAGTGAGAATAATAATAATAATAAACTTAGCAAAGAGAATCAAAAGTCAAAAAAGGATACAAATGAACTACCTTATTGTGTGGCACTAAAACAAATACTAAGAACAGCATTCAATACAGTATAATATTAACTAGTAAAAAGGGAGTTTAAAGGGATACCAAAAAGGATCTTAACACAATATTATGGATAACTATTAACACGATATCTGGTTAGTAAAAGGGGAAATTAAAGGGAAAATATTATGAATACTAAATAAAGGGTATTAAAGGAACACTAAAGGATATTTAAAGTCTTCTTTCTCTGTTGCCTCCCATCACTACACTGTGCCCACCCCCCCAGCCAGGCAGGGCTGTCAGGATCTGCAGCAGCTGGTCGGTGCCCATCCCTTAGCGGGCGTCCCCGCGGAGCAACACAGGCTCGGTGGCAGGATGAGGATCGCTCAGCTCAGCAGTCCTGACAGCCCATTTTATCAGCTCCACATTACACCACGTAGGGCCAGGACGCAGTGTAAGGGGAGGCCTGAATGGCAGCCAAACACCGCCCGATCATGCCCTGATGGCAACAGTCTGGGCCTGCCCTACTTGTAGGGCAAGGGGCCAGCCACCCCTGCCCACATCATCTTCCTCTCACCAGCATCTTTCTCACCCCGAGGTTTGACCTCTCCCATTGTGTTTCAAGGGTAGATGTACCTACCTTGCAATATGTAGCAGAACCAAGGAAGAACTCAGCTCTGATCACAGGGGATGTCAGGCTGACTTGCTGAAAAGCACAATGGACCTTACAATTAGCTTGTGCCATCAAGTTACATTGTACCACACTCCAGCTGGTTTCACATCCTAATAGGATTTCTTTCTCACGCCTCTATGCTCCATTGATCATCTAATTCAAAAGTACCCCCATTACATGACCCTACTTCTGCCAGAGGCTCCAATTGGCATCGTTAGCACTGGCAGGAACCTTCAGTTCCCCCTCTCTGGCTCGTATTGGCCACAGGTCTGGAGCCTGTTGAAGTGCTCCCTGAGCTGTTTCCAACCCTCCCTGCTGCTCATTTCCCAATCAAACTCACACTTCTGCCCTGGGACTTTATGGCCCAGGCCAAGGATTGGTCCCAAAGGAGGACCTTGTTGTCACCAAAAGCCAAACAAACCAATAAACTGCTGGGCTTCCACCTTGCTCTGGGGGTGACCAAGCCTGAAGTCTCCTGCCTAGTCCTGGGCAATACTTCCTGGGGACCACAGCACCACTGAGTTCCTAAAAATATCACAGGTTGGGCAGGTCTTGAGTTTTGTCTGGATTAACTCCCCCCCTTCCTTTCCATGTGCTGCACTACTCACTCTAATGGTGCTTGTACTCCCTGAACCATTCCCTCACCCATCCAACCATCCCTTGTCCCCTCTCTGACAAGGACAGGGGGTCCAGGTGTTCTGCCACGCTCCCAGGGCAGAGAGTGGGACTGTGGAGCCACCCTCGAGGGGGGAAACGTGCCCTGCCTGCCCTGCCCAGGGAAAGGGAACTGCCCCCAGTGTTCCCCAGCACAAGGCACCCTTGGAAATATCCACTGCAATGGGACACTCAGGGACAGCAACAAGCACTGCACGAGGCTGCTCTGGCACAGGACCAATTTTAAGCTCAGCTTTTCTCTGGACCACTTCACTTTGTTTCCCACCTCATCCTGCAGTCAGAACTTGCTGTCCTTGCAACTTTTTAGGGTGACCATAAATTAAAGAGGCCTCTGCTCCAGCACCCACAAGGGCCTGAACCATCTGACAGGATCCATTTTTCCAGGGAATTCAAAGCTCCACCTGAGGACCACAGTCTTTTCTCACCCATCCTTGTGCTGCAGCTTGGTCTCCATCTCACTCTGCTTTCAGTTCTCTCCATGGTTGAACACTGGCAGCCCTGGCCCTGGGCGGAGCTCGGCATCCTGATCCCATCCCTCCTGGCCCCGGAACCGCTGGCTCAGCAATGGGGGGCCCTCCATTGCCAAGGGCACGGTCCTGTCAGGGCTCACGGGGGGAGCAGGAGGTCGAAGGCTCCATCCCTGCTGCTACAACCTTCCACCACTACAGCCAACAGAGGAGCCTCTCCAGCCCTGCCTCCCAAGGCATCCTGAACTAACCCATCCCAACTCCACAGGACAAACTGCTCCCTGTCTGCCCAGTCCAGTCTAATCCCAGAGGCTCCCAGATCATGCAGAAGAACTACTCAGGAGATCAGAGACTCCAGTCCATCTCTTCCTAGCACAGGTTTGGGTGAGTCTGGCAAATAGACCAACTGAGGAATTACCCAATGTTTTCCCAGTTTAACCCCTGTCACACCCATCACCTTAACACTGCCAGCCCTTAATTCTTGTTCTATTGGGTTAAGGATTGAGGAAGTTGTACTGTGATACTCTCAGCAATGCCTGAATCCATTGCAGGGACCTTGCTTTGAGCTCCCCAGGGCCGGGCACCCCGAGGATCTCCCCGAATAATCCTTTCGGTGCGCGCTGGAGTCCTCGGGGTGCCCCAACCCGGGGGGCACCCACAGCACTGTCCCTACAGGGGGGCCCAATTTGGTCCTAAACTGCAGGGGGATCTTGCCTGTGTCCCAGACTGGTCCGGGGATCTGAGGCCCTTCCCGAGAAAATCTCGGTGCCGGCGTGAAGGGCCAGAGATCCCTTGGAGCCACGGGAGAGCAGGCACAGAGTCCCTCCTGGGGGGACAATTCTGCTGCCTCAACTCAGCTCTTCAAAGAAGCCTCTAACACTCAATTGGTGAGTTTTAGAAACCAAGCATTGCTTGCTTACAACACCCTGCCATGATCCCAGCCCGACGGGTGTCCTGGCAATCAGCTCCCAAAGGGCACACACAGAGCTATCTCCATTGAAGCTGATGGGAGGGGTCAGCATTACAGGAGGGTTCATTTTCCTTCCCTGCATTCCTGTTCCATACTCAGGGCATTCTTCTACACTTATCACCATACACACCTACCCTTACAAGGTTTCCAAGGGGCTTCACCGAGGGCCTTCCCAGCTCTGCTCTGTCTGGAGCCCTCAAAGTCCTCAGGGCCTGCCTGAGGAACCTCAACACAACTCACCTGCTTACACAGCAACTTGGTGCTGCTTGCCTGCTGCCTCACTTCCCTTCTTCCTTCTTTCTTCACCTCCCTTGCTTGGTCCCTTTCAATTCCTTGGCTCAGCTCTGTGCACTTTCCAGGTTACATCCCACTGCAAAAAGGATCAGCTCTTGTTACATCTCAACACTCAGACAGCATTCCCCCTTTTTCCTGAAACTCGACCACTAGGCCAGTGTCTCCTTATTTAAAGCAGAGTTTGACTCCTCAGTGACAACAACAGCTACAGCCCTGAATCCTAACACAGGCTGAGACACAAACACGGATGGGAACTCTGAAGGATCCACTTTGTCCTGCTCACCAACCAAAAGGAGCTTTCTGAACTCAAGAATAACAGACCCCAGGTCCTTTTATCTGCAACTTCAGCTGCTATAAATGTGACCCCCAAGACCTGGAAAGGCCCTTCCCACTTCACCTGCAGGGCTGGCAGTGCCACCACTGGACACGGACCCAGGGGCTGGGCAGGAACGGAGGGGCTGGGGCGTCCAATCCATCGGCCCAGGCGGCACCAGGAGTTCCTGCAGTTCCTGAGGGGAGAGCCTCAAGACAACAAAGGATTATGGAGATCATTTTAAAGTTCAATATGCATATTTCCTGGAATATGGGGAGTTTGACAAGGCCTACTGGTGCAACAAGGACACACTCAAGGCTATCTATTCAAAGGATCTACCAGCACTCAAAAGCTGTCACTGTCCTTGCAGGGGGAACGCAGCAAACTCTGTTTGTTAAGAGCCTCCAGGAGGATTTCCAGCTTTTTGGGTTCTCTTTTAACTATTTTTCCCATCACTGTAGCTGGGACTGTCACCTGCCCTACAGGGGGAACAGCCCACAAAGTTCACTTGCAGGGATGCCATTAACTCAAAGTCCCTTCTCAGGGGGGTCACTGCACACCTTGTCCTTTCTTTGCCCTCCCCACCAAAGATGCTTCCAACACTTCTGAGACATCTGGCAGACCCAGAGCTCTCCTCAGGGAATGCTTTAGCTGCTTAAAGACTGCCCTTGCACCATCTAGCCAAGGCAGAAAATGCTTACAGGCTGTTGGAAAAGTTGGCATAACAGTCTTACCACACATCCAGAGGGAGCAATCCAGAGTCAACCCCATCCTACCATTCCCAGCAAGGCACTTCATGGGCTGTCTGGGGCTCAGGGAGGAGTCAGGTGACTTCTTTTCTTCCTTCCTGCTTTCTGGATTTTCTCCTTCCAAAGCAAAGATTTCTTGGCTTTCCTTGCTCAAGCAGATGCAGCAAAGGCCATCTTTTCAATCCAATACTGGAAACTGCTCAAGGTTGTCATTCAAGGTGCTTCTCTCAGGTCCTGCACTCATCAATCATCTTGGCCATTGGTTCCTTGGCAGGTTCTTGCATTCACGTCCTACAAGCAAACCAGGATGAGCAAATTCAGCTGTTACTGCAACCAATCCAAGCTGGTATTCTGATTTTAAAGGATACTGGGTTGGCCTTACCCATATAGATCCCACATTAGGGGTAATACTTACAGGTTCTGCCCTCTTCCACTCTCCTGGAACACTCCACTGGCCCACACCACAGGAACAACTGCAGCTGCCACTTCAGTCGGGGCCTTGCTGCTGACAGGAGTTATTCCCTGCACAACAAGAGCTGCTGCTTTGACACATTTAGTTTCAGCAATTACAGTTTCAATATCCCCAGTTTTCCATTTCATTTCTGCCCCAACTTCTCCAACCAATCCCTTCCTAGCACAGGTTTGGGTGAGTTTGGCAAAGAGGGAAACTGAAGAAATCACCAATGTTTTCCCAGTTTAACCCCTGTCACACCAATCACCTGAACACTGCCAGTCCTTCATTCTCCC